TCCGTCTGTTTGGAGCCCGCACTCCAGACACTCCTGGGTGCAGAGTCCGCCCGGAGCAAGAGCCAGGCAGACAGTGGAGGACGTGGACACCGCAAGTCCGCAAGGAAGCTGGCGATTTCCCGACTCGCCGGAGCGGGTGGAAAGAGCTCCCTCTGTTTGTGAATGGTTTGAGGTGCTGGGAAAAACTCGGAGCGCTGATGAGCTCCGTCCTGAGGCTCCAGCCCCAGCTGCATCCCCCAATGCCAGCAACAAAAATCCCTCATTTTTTTCCTGCAATTTTATTAGTTTGAGGTGTTGGGTTTCTGCGGAGCGTCCCCATCCTTGGGCGCTGCTGTGGGGCGCAGCTCCTGCAGCTCCAGCACAGGGATGAGGAAGAGGAAGATGAGGCCCAGGAGAAGCAGCCAGAGCAGCAGGGCAGGAGGAAGAGCCACGGCCGCCTCAGCTCCTCCAGGGACACCTGGGACCTGGCACAGTTGTCACCCAGAGGGGCAGCAGCCAGGGGCTGTCAGGGCCAAGGAGAGGGCCTGCCGCTTTCGCAAACCCTTGCAACAGCGCAGGGGATGTGCAACGCTGTGAGCAAGAGGGGACAGGAAACCTCCAGACCCTGCTCTCCCTCCCTGCATCCCTGTTCCCTGTATCCCACCAGGGATGCCCATGGGGCTGGGCCCCACGGGGACAGGATGGGGACGCCAGGGAGGCTGATGGCCCCTCTGTGCTGGCTGCTGCTCACGTGAGCTCCGGCTGCGCAACAGCGCAGGGGATGTGCAACGCTGTGAGCAAGAGGGGACAGGAAACCTCCAGACCCTGCTCTCCCTCCCTGCATCCCTGTTCCCTGTATCCCACCAGGGATGCCCATGGGGCTGGGCCCCACGGGGACAGGATGGGGACGCCAGGGAGGCTGATGGCCCCTCTGTGCTGGCTGCTGCTCACGTGAGCTCCGGCTGCTCCAGCTCCTCATGCTCCGTGTCCCCATGGTCCACCCCGGACACGGGCTCCCCCATCACGGTGCTCCGTCTCCGCAGCCCCGTCTTGCTCCTGGGGAGGGAGGCGATGGGACACGGGGCCGTTGCAAGGGCGAGCGGGCACCTCCTTGAGCCCCTGCCCTGTCGCTGTTACCGGGGGGCGCTGGGCTCGCACGCCGGCTCCGCTCGGCCGTCCAGGTTGTCACCTGGCTGGGCACCGGCTTGGGAGCATGAGCAAGGACAAGGGCACATGTCCCCGCTGCCCTTATCCCATCCCAGCTCCATGCACATCCTCACCGAGAGCTGCTTGGGAATGATGGCAATGCCGACCCTGCAACGCGCCGATGCCTGCGGGGACAAGGGGGGACACTGTGCGCATGGAGGCCCTGGGAGGCCACACGAAAGGTCTCCCCCCAGCCCAGTGTGCACGGAGGCTGCATGAAAGCCCATAGGACCTCATCATGCAGGTCCCATCGGGGCGCCAACGTTCCAAGGAACGGGAGGGTGTCGGGAAAGAGGTGCTGAGACTCAATGTCCAATGCTAATGAGATGCTAATGAGATGCAAACTCGATGGTAAGCGATGAGGGGCAAAACTGATCCCTGTGGAGAAGCGGGGCTTCGGGGAGCAGGGACGGGGGGCGGAGCCAGGGACAGCAGAACGGCCTCGGGGCGGGGCTGTTGTTTTGTTGTCCAGGGACGGCGGAGGTATTCGAGTTTCAACCGCAGAGTAATGGCATGCTAGCCGCGTGCTAATGAGATGCTAATGATATGCTAATGAGGCCAGTGATCACCTCTGTAGCGAGAGGCGGCGTGGCCGGAGGAAAAAAAAGAGGGCGTGGCCACCGAGTGAGGGGGCGTGGTCGGAGCAAAAGCCGGGGGCACGGAGGGAGGGGGCGGGGCCTCCTCCGGGTCGCGGCCATGGGGCGGAGCCCTGGGGGCGGGGCCTCTTCCCGGCGCCTGCGCAGTC